GGAGGTACCATTTTTCATCGGTTTAATCAGCAATGATTGAAACAATGAGAACACACAGGTTATGAGGAAGAGTCAAAAGGAGCATTCTCACACAGCTGATCGGGGTACTGATAGCAAACAACATTCCTAGGAATACAATTTAGCAACATGCATCACTATCCTTAATGATTCTATCAATCCTACGTGTCAGGAGGTTTCCTCTCTTAGGAATAAGCCTATTCTTCCCTAGCGAATAATGTTTCATTTAAAATTAGTCAAGACAAAGTTGAAAGAAATTCATGGCTCAACTTTAGGCATTCATCTCCTATTTTATCTGTATTCCCCCTAATTTTGATTTCCCATTTTTTTCTTGCATCTCATCTTGAATGCCATGCAAGATCTGTGAAAAGAGGCAGGATGTAAGTATCCTAAGAATAGAGAAGATGAGCCTCCCACGGACCAGTTGTGGTATCGATATTTGCATTATTTTACAAAATGGAGAATAACTTTATTTAGCAAAAAGTGAGATTTTGCCTCATGTTACAAAGCTGAACACGATGCAGTTTCAATGAAATTGCCTCTAACATTTTTAAGACACAAGCAGTACTATTTTCTTTTTGGTGGGGCTGTCACCACACCACAGTGGAAGCCAGGAGATCAGATAATCACTCAGTTGGGCAGTGACTCCCTGTGAAGCACTACCTATAACATCTCTTCATGAGCATCTAATGAATAACCCATTCATGGCCTTTTCTGTCCCAAGGTCGAAGATTCTATTGAATCCAATGACAGGTTAAAAACCTTGATAAGTGACAGAAGAAAATACCTCATTGATGTTTTTCAGCTAATTAAAAAAAAGCTTATCTAACTTTTCTGGGATAAGATACCTTTGACTTGTCAAGAAGGGCCTACAGAAGACACTTAAGTAGTAGATAGAGTTAATAAATGCCATACAGGCAAACCTGAAATACAATCACAGCAAATATGCAATGGAAGAGAACCTTGGGCAAGTCATTTTAATGCTTGAAGCTGAGTGGCGGCCCTCTCTAGCACAAGAGGCCTTCGGGGACAGGATCAAATCCACTTAATCCACAGTGATCCTCTCTACATGTCAGTTTCCTAACCTGTAAAACTGGCAATAATCACTTCTCAGGATTGCTGGCAGGATTAAATTAGGTAAAATATGTAAAGCGTTATTGCACTGAGTGGCATGTGTAGTAAGTCCTCAACATATAATATGGCTTATTATTATTTGAAGTATTACTATCCCAACCTATAAAATAATGCCAACCCATTGTTATGAAGATCAAATAATGAACACAGATGCCAACAAAAGCAATGAGAGGTGCAACAGACAAGAGGAACAATTATGATTGTGATGAGAAAACAGTTAATATAACCATAAATTCTGCTAAGCTACTTCAGACAGTATGAGTCACCCCTAATATAAAAAATTATTTTTAAAAGCAATAAAACCTGTTGAGACTTCATCCAATGACAATTGTCGAATTAATATGAAATTTGTCAAGAGGTTTGGCACTCTTGGACACAGCTGCCTTCCAAAGGATTTTGGGTGAGAAAAGATGTTTAAAGCTAGGGGACTTCAAATTCTGCCCCTTATATAATTAACATTTCTTCACCCTCACCCCTTAAAGAGGCAGCCACTAATTTAGGGATATCCCTTACAGGAGACAGGCTGCCTCAGCAGGAAGCTGATTGCCCAAAAGAATCTCACCCGTCTCCACCCCTCCTTCCCTCCCAACTGCCAACACCATCAGGAATTTTCCTTCCCTCCACCCACTTTCAACACTGGAGCCAAACCAAGCCTCTCTCATTATTATCTATCTCCGCAGCAGAGCACAAAGCAAACACCTCCCCACCTCTGAACCCTCCCCCACCCACCCCAGCCTCTACCTCTCTCCCTCTGCCCCTTCTTCCTTCCCTCCCTCCATCCCCCCCTTGGACCGGCCACTATTCCCTCCACCGGAACTGCCAGGAATGCACACACCGCTTCACTGATACGAATTACATACCTCTCTGCATGGGGGCCTTTTGGACCTGGCCATGCACCCATTTCTGAAAGCAAATAGCACATCGCCAAAGCTCAGGACAAACTGCATAGTCAAAGGTTGCTCTTTCCTCTCTCAGGTAAAGACTTTATTTGCCCACTCTCTGACAAAAGACTGGTAATTCTACCTCAAATGGAAAATCTTTTGAGCCCTTTGAAATGAGGACTCCAAAGCGAAAAATAACAACCCATAATGACAATCTGAGTCCCCTAACCACTGCCTCCCATCAGGTCTAAAGATCTTCCCGGCCCCTCAGGAAAAGTTTTCCACCCTCGGTGGGCAAGATAATTGGCCTTGAGCTGACTGTACACAGTATAAGATATTCCCAGGTTACTAGAAGTATTTTGCATCATTTGCCCCACTTGACAACCATAAAAGTTGGAGATATATATATATATATTTTGGTATCTCAGAAAATAAATGACAGGAAAAGAAGCTCAAGCACCACGGGTCTTGGGTGCATTTTCACGTCCTAAGAACAGAAGGATTGCACCCCGCTCCCTGTCTTTCCTCCCCCAGCTCCTCCCGGGGACATCACCACCCTGCAGGAACGGAAGCCGCTTGCGGAGGGAGAGGAACAACCGCACTAATGTGCATCTTTTGCAAGATGCCTGTGCTTTTGCAGAGTCTCGTTGGATCACACTTTTAGACAGAAGCTAGGTTTCAGAAGAGGGCTGGAAGGGAGACAGGGATGGAGAAAGGAAAAAGTGGCTTGTAGTTTGAGAGAGAAAAGGAGCAAATAGGAAGAATTCGGGGCCAAATAATCTTAACCATGAGCCCGAGGGACCTTAGCTGTTCTTCAAGGCCAGAGGCTTCAAACCAAGCCTCGGAAGTTTAGACTTAAAGGATTCTTTGTTCAACTGGCATATAGAGCTTTTAAAAATGGAAGCCCTACATTTAAAGATTTCACATGAAAAAGAGATCTGACCACACCAGCCTGTCTTTCCTCTCTCAGGCACAGGTGGAGGTAAGGGGTAGCCACTCCCAATGCCCCAGGTGCCCCACCCAGCACTTCACCGCTTTATTCCTCTGCCCTGCCTTTTAGGATATCTGCACTTATGCCTCCTGATCAAGGCCCCTCTCACTTGTTCCACAAATGAGAAAAATAAAAGCACCAGGGGTGCAGCCACGGCTTCTCAGAGCAGAGCCGCCCGAGAACCCCAGCTTCTTTAGATACAACAGGCACTTCTTTTATTTTATTTTTTTTTACCTGAAGTAGAGTTGATTTACCAGGTTGTGTTACGATTTCTACCGTACAGCAAAGCGACTCAGTTATACACATACATATTCTTTCTCAGATTCTTTCCATTCTGGTTTCTCACAGGGTGTTGAATATAGTTCCCTGTGCTATACAGTAGGACCCTGTTGCTTATCCATCCTGTATATACTAGTTTATATCTGTTAATTCCAAACTCCCAGTCCTTCCCTCTGCTCCCTGCCCTCCACACTGGCAATCACAAGTCTGTTCTCTATGTCTGCCAGTCCTGTTTGTTTCGTAGAGAGGTTCATGCATAAAGAAGATGTGGTACATATATTAAATGGAATACTACTCAGCCATAAAAAAGAATGAAATAACGCCATTTGCAGCAACATGGATGCAGCTGGAGAATATCATACTAAGTGAAGTAAGTCAGAATGAGAAAGACATATCATATGATATCACTTATATGTGGAATCTAAAATATTTCTTGACCAGGCACTTCTGAAGCTGTTTTCAGAGCAGAATCTTGAGTCAGGGAAACAGCCACGCTGGCAACCTTGTCCCTGAAGCCCCCTCTCCCGGCTAAACCATCTTTGACCTAAAAATTGGTTGACCTTTACGACTCTTTCACCTTCTTGGACTCATCACCATGTGTTAGCACGCTTATGGAGACTTGCAGAGTCCTCGCATGCACCAGGCCATACCCTATGTGTCTTCATGATGATTCTGGGAGACGTGCATTAACACCATTTTACAGGCTCAGGACAAGGGCACATGGACAAGCGCAGTGGCTGAGCTGCACTTGAACCCAGGCCTACCTGATCCCAGGGTCCGGATGCTGGCAGCATGCCTTGCTGCCTTGCAAATAACCACCATCTCCCCCAGTTTAAAAAAAAAAATCAGGGACTTCTCTGGTGGTCCAGTGGTAAAGAATCCACCTTACAATGCAGGGGACGAGGGTTCGATCCCTTGGCAGGGAATTAAGCTCCCACACGCCACTGGGCAACTAAGCCCACACACCACAACTACTGAGCTCTCGCGCCTCAACTAGAGAGCCTGCACGCCACAAACTACAGAGCTCACCTGCCCTGGAGCCTGCGCACCACAACCAGAGAAGAGAAAACCTGCATGTCACAACTAGAGAGAAGCCTGCATGCCTCAACAAAGACCCCGTGTGCTGCAACTAAGACCCGATGTGGCCCAAAAAATAAAATAAATAAATAAAAATCAGAACTTATTTGATCCTGAACAAAGTTCAACGATAGGGTCCCAAACAAAACATCAGAAGGGGCTCCACCTCTCCACCCAGAATTATCATTGGGTTTTCGTGTATACGCCAGCTGCCCCCACAATACTACAAGCTTCCTCAGAGAAGTTGCCCTGCCTTACATGCTTTTGTGTATCCAATAGACATGGGGTAGTTACACTTAATACCACAAGGAATTATTAGTCAACAGCTCCTATTTTGTTTCTGATCAAATTTTACTAAAAGGGGTTTCTTGGGAGGAAGCATTTTATGTCCCTTCATGGATTCTCAGAAAGGTCCTTTTCCTGCACATCATCTCTTCCTCTCTCATAGTCTTATTCACGCACAGCTTTTAAATCTTCCCTTCCATTTTCCCAAAGTAAACCAGGTAAAAATTCAACTCTAAGTGATTTTTAATAAAGAGCATATATGCAGAGTACTTGGATCCCAAAGCAGGTAGTTGTTGTAGAAGTAATACTGGTTCATAAGTAATAATAATACTTACAACCCATATTATGGTCAGTCTTCTGGACAAATAAGGATCAATATTCCAGTGAGTGAACGGAAGGAATGTTATGTAGAACACTTCTTGTCCCAAAGCGGCTGAAAATCTGAATAGGTAATAGTAGAAATAATTCTTCACAATGTACTTCTGTACATAAGCCTAAAAGACAAAAGTTAGAAGACTCTGTGAGTTCATTGAACAGGTCACTATAAGGCAAGTTTTAAAAACCTCTATCTAAGGACTTCCCTGGTGGTCCAGTGGTTAAGACTCCATGCTCTCAATGCAGGGGGACCTGGGTTTGATCCCTAGTCAGGGAACTAGACCCCGCATGCATGCTGCAACTGAAACAGTCCCCCATGCCGCAACTAAGACCCAGCGAAGCCAAATAAATAAATATGTAAAAATAAATTAAAAAAATAAGAACCTCTACCTAGGGACTTCCTTGGTCGTCCAAAGACTCCTTGCTTCTACTGCAGGGGATGTTGGTTCCATCCCTAGTCGGGGGAACTAAGATCCCACATGCCCCTAGATGTGGCCCCCAAAACCCCCAAACAAAAACAAACAAAACAAAAAAAACCCTCTATCTACGAATCACAGGGTTTCAATTGCCAAGGTGCTACCTCCTCTCCCCTTGTGTAATTACAGTATCAGTACTAGCAGCCTACAGTGTTACTGAACATCTATCAACCCCCAGGTGTCTACACAAACACAGATGATGTTAATTCTTTCTAAAATTAAATTAGTAACATCCAAGACAGAAATATCAGGGAAAGACACAAAACAACCCAAACCTTTCTCCTGTGTCCACAGAGGGCTAGAAACTCAAGGGAGGTGAACTCCGCTAGCACACACTGTGTGGGTCTATGAGTGTGCGAGGCAGGAGAATGTCCCCAAAGATGTCTACCTCCTAATCCTTAGAACCTGTGAAGATGTTACCTTACACGGCAAAAGGGGCTCTGCAGACGTAATTAATGATTTCGAGATTGAGGGGTTACCCTGGGTTATGTAGGTGGCTTCAATGGAATCACAAAGATCTTTAACTAATAGAAGGAGGCGGAAGAGTCAAGAGGCAGAAAGTGATTTGAAGATGGAGGAAGGGGCCGTGAGTCAAGGGATGCCGGCGCCTCTAGAAGCTGGAAAAAGTGAGGAAAAGGATCCTCTCCTTGAGGCTCCAGAAGGAACACAGCTCTGCTGGTACCTTGATTTCAGCCAGATAAGAACCATTTTGGACTTCTGACCCCCATATATTTTGTATCCACAGAATAAATACGTGTTGTTTTAAGCCACTAAGTTCGTGGTAATTTGTTGCAACAAGAAATTAACTAACATGAAGACTTTAGAAAAATCGCTTGCAGATGCATGTTTGTAATTTACCTTTTAAATGGGATTCGTCAAGTTGGCCCACTACAGTGATGGTGCAAGAAACACAGCAAGTGGGCACGGGGCCTGCTAAAAATGCACTCCCATTTTCTATCATCCTTCTCCATCCTGTTATCCTGGTAGCAGGCAGGGAGGAAAAAAAAAAAAAGACTTATGTCGACACTGCCCTCGGCTCCAGAGGCATATCGGGATTCGTGTAAACCAGTCACGGTTAAGTTCAAAAATTCAGCCTCAAGCCAAGCAGTACATGGCACTACCTGGGAGGAAGATGCTAGTCAGAGGGAGCATACAACGTAAGCCAGAAATTCATCTCTCTACTGGGATGAACGTTACTTCTAAGTGAATTCAAAGGAGAAAGAACGGATCCATCGTAAAGTGGAAAGACAATAATGCACAAAATGAATTAAATAAGGAAGTGTATAGTTCTACCTCTCTGCCAAGATACTATGGTTAGATGTGCAAAACAAGGTCAAGGGACTGAGGTGAATAAATGACAAACTCCTCCCTCCCTCCTTCTCTGTCTCATTATCTAATATGAGGACTAATCTCTGCAGATTCTGCTTTATAAACATACATCCAACAGGCTTGACCTTGGGGCAAATCCTGTGAAGCGACGTTTTTTTACGTAAAAATTAGTTATTTTAAGGCACCAGCTGTCAGGTACACTTGGTAATCTGTCCTGCTTTGAAGCTTTATGAGGAAAACTTTTGCCAAACTTTGACAAGGGTCAAACCCCTCCCTCGTGTCATTTCATGGTACCCAAGTGTTATATGACATTATAAATATTCAGCAACAACCATTCTCTACCCTAGAGACTTAACTGAGACCAAGTTCAATATTTTCATCCTAGTAAATAATCGAAAAAACTGGCATGGATGACAGCAAACTGCTTTAGTGTTACATATTACTAACTAATATCTTTAGGCATGCCTTTTACATTCTCTTAGGAACTCTTTTTTTAATTTTTAGAAACGCTCTCTTTTTTCTTTTTTTTTTTTTTTTTGAGTAGAGAGCTAAATATTCTCTAAATCTTTTTGAGAAACAAAAAGCAAAGGTGAAGTTAAAAATATCAACATGTATATAGGGCAGCCAAAGGAGCTTTTAGATAACATCTTTGTATATGTAATTAAATAGGTTGAGAGCCAATATTTTCTTCCAACTTCTTCAGAATTACATGTAGTGTAAGTAAAGTAGTTAAGTACTTGTCTTTTCAGGACAATAATCTAAGTTCCCCTTGTAGGAAATCTCAGTGTGTATCACTTCAATATATCTTTGTAAATAAGAATTTCAGTTTCAGGGTATGTGTTGGTCGCATCAGGAACAGTTAGAGGGAAAAGAAACCGGGGTTAGAAATAGAAATGGTAGGTAAAGTGAATGGCAGAGAGAAGAGGAGATAAAACTGAGAGACAGGAAACCAAATCCTGGAACAAAAACATCCATCAATACATTCTGTAGAACTGGTCGTGCCCAAGGAGCTGACATCCCAGGCAGTGGAGCCGTGTTTCTGCAGCACAGACTCAGGAGTCAGTGATTAGCAGCTAATTTTTAGACAAAAGATCAGGAAAAGCACTGAACATTCAGGTGAGTGGAGAGGAGCTACTTTTAGAAATAAAATACCTCTTAGTATACCAATCACCTGCCTCAAAGCCAAAGAAGTTTCCGGTAAACAAGGGATGATAAGATGGAAATTACCCAGATAGCCATTATTACTAACTGCAAAATGTCACTGATATTCTCATTTGTCTATTTGATTTCCTGGTTTCTTTACTTGAAAGTGAAAAGGGAAAACGGTTTTGCAGGTGGGGATAAAAAACATGATCTCAGTCTCCCAATGCCATCTTTCCCTTTTGGTCACAAATTTCTCAAATGCACATTCTCCTAAAATGGGGTTTTTGGTAACTTAAGGTTTGGGTGGGAGAACAGCTGCTCTATTTTGCAGATACAAGAGTATTCCCTGTTCTCTGCAAGGCTGCCTTCAATGCATAACTAAGTCATGACCGAAAGGGAGCGGTACAGATTTACCGCAAGATGAAGACAAAGAACGCTGAGAATATATGACGCCTTGACTTAGGTCTGCCCCGAAACACCTGAACAGTGTTTACTTTTCCAAGTGCACACAGAGGAGTCCTAACTTCAAAGGAAATATGGCCAGGTCAGCACCACTGGCTGGAATCAGGGCAGACCCAGACAGAAAAGAAGCGAATGTTTAGCACACTTGGTAGCTGACCCAGCTTTCGAGCTGTCAAAGGAGGAGTACAAGAAATAGCTTTTAGGACTTCCCTGGTGGCGCAGTGGTTAAGAATCCACCTGCCAGTGCAAGGGACGCGGGTTTGAGCCCTGGCCTGGGAAAATCCCACATGCCGCGGAGCAACTAATCCCTGTGCACCACAACTACTGAGCCTGCGCTCTACAGCCCACGAGCCACAACTACTGAAGCCCACGCACCTAGAACCGGTGCTCCACAACAAGAGAAGCCACCACAATGAGAAGCCTGCGCACCTCAACGAAGTGTAACACCCGCTCACCACAACTAGAGAAAGCCCGCGCACAGCAACGAAGACCCAACACAGTCGAAAAATTAAATAAATTTATTAAAAGAAAAAAAAAAAAGAGGGCTTCCCTGGTGGCGCAGTGGTTGGGAGTCCGCCTGCCGATGAAGGGGACACGGGTTTGTGCCCCGGTCCGGGAGAATCCCGCGTGCCGCGGAGCGGCTGGGCCCGTGAGCCGTGGCCGCTGAGCCTGCACGTCCGGAGCCTGTGCTCCGCAACGGGAGAGGCCACGGCAGTGAGAGGCCCGCGTACGGCAAAAAAAAAAAAAATTGCTTTTAGCCAAAACAATGTGTGACCTTGGGGAAGTCAATTCGCCTTTCTGAGCCTAAACGGCCTCAGCTGCAAATGATGGAGTAGGATTAGTTCAGTTGGCGTTTAATATACAAAAAGAAAATTTAAGTAGGGAAAGGCCCATTAAACAGAATGTTACCACAGGACCTATTACACAAAAAGATTGAAACCAATTGGTCGAAAGTGAGAAGGGGCCCAGGGAACCCCTATTTCAGGCCAGGCACACCCCCATCCCAACCCCCAAGTTTTTCTCTGGAATATCCCCTCAGAGCAGTTCTGTAATCAGTTTGGAAACCACTGACCTTAATCTGTACTCGACCTCACATACCACCTTTCTGTAACTAACCCTTGGCCTTGAGAACACAGGCTATAGGCATTCTGACTTTGAGGTCTTTAAAGGACTCGATAAACTCTGGACCAATGTCCCTGCAAAGTCAAATTACTTATCTCCATTTTTTTTAGATTAGAACTGTAAATGCAAATATTCTTCCAAAGGTCAAGTTTGAGATACCACTCTATCTCAACACAGCCGGAAGGAATTCACAACGGGGAGGGTAGTATCTAAGGCTCCCAGCAGCCATGTTAATTGGAATCAGTAGAAGGAGCTCATTCTCTTTGGCTGAGAGAGATCAAGTCTATACAGGGTACAGCACAGTCTTACTTAAAAATAACTTTAGGACTCAGAGCTTTTATAGATCACACCAAACAGCATTTCATTCACTGTGGCTTTGCTTTAGAGAAGTTCTACAGACCGATAAGAGGCAAGTGGGTCCAGAGTAAAGTGGCCTGGAGAAAAGAGCCCAGGAAGAGGGGAGGGTGCAGAGCTGGTGGACAAACTTTGCGTCCACAAACTCTGGACGCAAAGTGTCTCGGATTAAATCCAGGCTGTTCCAACACTCACTACCTGAGTAATCTCACACCAACGACTTGATCTCCTGG